CTGTTTTTATAGTTTTACCTCCAACTTCTTGTTACAGCAGTTGTGCCTAAATATGACTGCATCGTGCAATGGGCTTGATTCTGACCGCACGACCCAGTACACCGAGTAATCTGACCCAATTTTCACTGATAGGGCTAGCAACGGCTCCAGCAACTAAAGCAGCTACAGCACCGGCAAGGGTGGCAACGCTGCAGTGATTTCACTGGAGGAGGAAGTGTTGTCGTCCTATCAAAGGGAGTGCTTATCCAATGATTCTATCAGCAGAATGAACAAGTATTTGTAAAATGTTCCAGGAGTACTTAAAGAGGTCCAGTCTTAAAGAGGAACTGCACTCCCCTCCCCCTTGAATTTTCTTTTGGCTAGGTTCACACCTAGGCGATTTATCACGCGCGATAAATCGCACAAAACACAGATTTGCATCGAAGTCAATGGAGGCTGTTCACAACTTTGTGGTTTGTCACGAGGACGAAATTCGCCTTCGCCACGCAGTTTGGGTCCCATAGACATCGCTATGCATTGAAAACCGTGTGGTTTTCAAAACACGATTGCACAAACAACAACACACGACAACCGAACAGAAACAGCTCACCAGCTGTGAACCTAGCCTAACTCCTCACACCCAGTGAATCCTTCATTTTCCAACTGCGATCCACAGTTCTGGCAACACAGCCTGGGTCCCCCACTGCCATCTAGGTCCTCTTCAGTCATCAAAAGCTGACTGCCTCTTCCGGATTCAAGAAGCCAACCCCCAAAAACTCTACCTATGGTCTGCTCCGTGTCCCTGCCCCCAGCATATGCGACAGAGATTTCCCTAGGAGGCTAGAGAAGTCAGACATGTCATTCTTGCGAGAATGGTGGCAGTGTGAGGGGCCAGGATTTTTTTTGTTCCCTTTAAGGGCTAGTTCACACCAGAACTGCGTGCATCTGCACAGCTGCAGTGAGATGCGTTTTCCCATGAGTGTACCGCGATTGACCCAGTTTTGTTTAAAATGGGACTGCAGGTGCGTTTGCATAGATTTTTGATGCAATCCGTTGTGATCCGCTAAAATAGGGCAAGCAGTATTTTTTCTGACTGCATCGGAACGGACTGCACTGGCGTGAACAGAAATCCCATAGAAACGCATTGTGATGCATTTTGGATACAGCTGCCACACTGAACGGACTGCATCACAACTGCATCTGGTGTGAACTAGCCCTTGAAATGTACAAACAGGAAGAAAATATTTTTCAAATAGCGGTGGGTTGGAGGAAAATTTTAGAGTGAAGGTCTACTTGAATTGTTTAGGCAGCCTTCTTTACATATGTGATTTTATAGGTGGAACATATTTCCACTTTAAATGAAAGACTAACCAACGCTTTGTGACAGACATTTCTTTAACAGTTTCAATGGTGTGTCTATAATTAGTGTATACATTTAGAAAAAGCTGAAAAACATCCCAACACAAATTCATATAGGCACAAAGTTTATTTTTGTTTAACCTCACCACAATTCACAGTTCAAGAGGGCGACTACTTCAGTACATATCTGAAAGGTATATTAAAAATACAAAGGGTGGGAGACCGAAGATAAAAGCCAGTCATGGAGTTTAGCACAACAGGTTTGCACAGTGGCTCTGCTTAGCATGCCCTAGTAAAACACAGCAAATCATTATACTCTATATATAGAAAATAAGCATCTTGCAATGTATAAAAATATGGCCGCTACCACTTTCAGGACCTTCAAAAAGAAAAAAAAAAAAAACGACAAAACACCAGCAAAACCAAGTCTGTTGAACTGCACCTAATTCAGCGAGAACAGTGGGAGTGTCCAATACAAGGAAGGAAGCTAGAAGATGAAGGATCAGTCCTCCAAAAACAGCCATTTCAGATAAGGGTGTATTACAGTGAACCTGGATCTGCCAGTCTCATTCATCCTGCTGCAGTCTCCATTATGACTATACAGAAATAAACAGGCTGTTAATGTTATTCTGAAAATGCTAGATGCTTGGCTGTATTGGATGCTTTGTGAGACATACACCAGGAACAAGCATACAAAAACAAAAACAGAAAACACTTAACATAGATGTCCAGCCAAAAAAGGATTTTATATATTATTATTTTTTATATAAATATTTTATTTGTCTTGCTTTTGGGGCTTTTCCCCTCACTTCCAGGACAGGAAACTAGGGGAAAGAACTACAATGGAACTCAACAGAAGCTCTAAGCCCTCCGCACAAAATGAAAAACTTAAATTTTGCCTGAACATACACCTTATTACTTGTACTGGGTCAAAGACTACAAAAGGCCCGAAGCCACTGGATCATACTGACAGCCCAGTAACTAATATTTTTAGAAGGAGAGGTCAGCAACGGGAGCCTTAATACCTCCTCAGCATAGGTTTCCTTCCATGCTTCCAATGGGTGGGTAGAAGTCAGACCCCAGGTACAGAGACTTTACCTATGGAGCTCTCGAGGGATATAAGAAACTGGATGACTGAACAAACGTACAGGCCGCACACATGGCTGTGCTTTTTCTTCAATTACAATGATCTTTCTTAAGGTGCCCATACACTGCACGATTATCGTACGATAATCGTATGCGATCGGTTTTTCGTACGATAATCGAGCAGTGTGAACGGAGACGTGCGACCGTTTCTACTGTACGGTCGCACGTCTTCTGTCGAACCAGCATGTTCGAAAACCAGCCAGGAATCGTACGATTCTCGGCTGGTTAGAACGGTGCTCGGAAGACAAATGCGAACGGGCCGGTGTGCGCACGCGCACACTGCCCGTTCAGCATTGCGGTCATCGGAAGCCCGCCCCTCAGGGGGGCGGGCTTGCGATGATCGAGAGTGCGATCTGCCTGTCCAAGATAGGCAGATCGTACGTTTTTTTAATCCCTGTACAACCATCGCAAGACTAAAGTCTTGCGATGGTTGTAGAGTGTATGGCCACCTTTAGAACCACTCCTTGGCCTCGCATACACTGTTACTCCTGCGTAACACGACTTCACCGTCAATCAGGGCTTATCGATCCCTTTGATTAAGTCATGATTGAGGGCAAAATGCGTCAGTGGAGTCAAGTCAGGCAGAAGGAACGATGCAAGTAGGGCCATGTAGTGGTTTTAATGAAGCACATAGAGCAGTGTGCGGCCTGGAAAATTTTTTGTGACTGCAGGAAGGCCCAGCAACCGTGGCTGGTGGGCGCAATGAGGCTTCCTTGAGCGGAACAGCTTGGGTAGGATTGGTTGTTTGGCTAGCTGATTGAATCTGCTAGCATCCACCAAAAACGGAAATATCTGGTTGAGCTGACTGACCCCCTTAAAAAAAAAAAAAAAAAAACATAGCTTTATATAGAATGATACACTTAACATAGACGGTAGTGTAATAAGCATTTGTGCGGTGTACCTGAGGGTTTTCTATAAGGCACTAACAAGATGAGGACAGGGAATGGACTTCATGCAAATGGGATCGATTTGGTTTCTATTTTTCCCATCAATTACTATAAATTATGTAGAACACTAGACAAGAGTGTGCGAGTGTGTAAGGAAAAAAGTGTGCAAGTGTGTGTGTGTATTTTTGTTTCTTAACTAAGTCTAGACAAAACTTTGTATTTGAAATTTGACTACAGTGTCCCTGCCAGGTTTTTACTGCTGTGGGAGGCTCCAATTCCTCTCCTACTTCCCGTCTTGCCGACCACAGTTTCGCCAGGCAGGAATGGAGGAGAAATCTGCAACGGGGCCGAGAAAGAAATAAGCATCTGACAGGGGGTTCTAGCTTCCCCCTACTCTACTAAAGAGACGCAGGTTCATTTCTGTCGATGCCATTAAATAAATCTTCTTACTTCCGGTCTGGTGAATCGGTTGTCAGAACAGGAAGTTAGAGTTGGGGGGTGAATTGAGTGTGTGTATATATTGTAT